CCTTATTCAGAAAGAGACTGCTGAAGTTTCTCTCACGCTTAATGAGGAAAGAGAGATTGGAGAATTTGACACTTATAAGAGCAAGGGGACAGAGGAAAACATTAAGTAACGTCTCTAATGTAAATAGATGATAGATCATGGATTGTGAAGAACAGTAAGGGGACAAACATAGTGGATAGGAAATTGGCGAGTTCCATTATGGTCCATTTCATGAAGATACATAGCACATAAAAGAGGAATAAAGTATAGTCAATAAGTTTGTAGCCTAATAAAGAAAAGTAATTTATTTTACACAACAAATATTTATTTTTCAACATAATCTCTTTGTTTGTCAGTGTATTATACATTTGTATACAAATCGCATAGATCGAACGTTATTCAGTGAAAACTCCAGATCAAAATTAAGGTAAAACTATGTCAGGCTATGAACTTACTACTTAACTCTTACAATCATCATCATCATCATCATCATCATCATCATCATCAGTCCCTCAACTGGTTCAATCGTCAAGGGGGTAGGGTCTGGGGGCAGAAAAAACAGACTTGTATTCTTCTTCCATTACAATACTTTGTGTTCTTTCAGACAGACTGGCGGCGCCCATCTCCTCGCCAAGCCCTTAACCAACATCCGAAGACCACGGAATATAGTGTGTGCAGCCTTAGGTCCGTATATTAGGCCCTCAGGTTTTGAATTAAGAGTTGTCCTTCTCGTAGACTGGTTGCCAACCAAGGCTACAGGACCCAGTCTGTCCTGTTATTTACCCGCAGCTAGAGAGGGACGAGGAGAGATAATAAATTCATGGCTTTCCCAATGTATAAGGCACGTAAGTGAATGTAATGAACTAGACTGGAATTCGAACTCGGCTCCCCGATTCCCCACTCCAAGGCATAACCTTATCGTGCTTTCAGTCTCACAATACCATTCTACAAAATATTTATAACAATATCAGCTATAGATCAATATTTCTTATTTCCAAAATTGGATAGTTCTCGTTGGAATGATTGCTAAAAACATTCTCTCTTCAAAGTTATAAACAAATCCTACAGATAAAAATAAAAGAATTAGTCCACTTTTATTGATTAGGAAAAATGCTGGAATTTCTTTTTAACCAATAAAAATGGACTAAAACTCGGTCTTATCCGCCATATTTTATTTTTCTTCTTTCTTGTTTTCAAGTCAGAACGCTGTAATCACTTGTCTGTATCCCTGTCGCGTTTGAATACAATTCTCACTTTATGAACTTTTTGCCTTATTACTTTTGTTTTGCCTTTTTTTTTCAGTTGCATATATATTGTTTTCTTAGTATTATTTTACTCTCTCCTTTTTATTGCTTATTAAGATCTTTGTCATTTCCGCTTGTTGAGAATTTTGGCCAATTACTCTTAACCATAGCCAATTACTTCAAATGTAGAATCCTTAGGTAGCACTAGTATTACAATTGTTAAAATTTGGTAAATGGCCGTTTTGGTGGATTCATATCTGGTTATCATCTCGAGATATAAAAGTAAAAAAAGGCAATTTGTTATTCATATAAACGCATATACGCTATAACGCGCGCACGGATACGGGCATATATAGATTTTTAGTATCTATCACGGAAGTGAAAAAAATGTAGTATTTAATAGTAATTTGAGAATTATCACTAATACTCGTGACAATTCCCAGATTGCAACAAAGCACAAACAACGGAGAAAAGTTTAGAAGTTTCCAAGTTAGAACACTTTAAATATTAAAACTATACATTGACCTTTAAAATATATGACACTGTCATCAACAAGATGAGCTTTGTTTCATTATTCATTAAATGGGTGACATTTTACGACTGGGCAAACCTGAAACGCACAATAATGCAAGATTTATATGTATTAAAGCAAAAAGCATATTTCGAATTTCAAATTTCAGCGCAAGATCAGCCAAAATCTATCAATCGGCCTGATTCTACTGATCCAGGACCCCTTGATCAGAAACTTTCAGAAGAGTAAAAAACTTTCTATCGAGCTATAAATATCTTGCACCTCAGATGCCACCACCACTGCTACTACAGGAATTAAAGTCTGTCTTTGAAGATTCACTTTTCAATAGGATAAAGTAGAACTATCGTTATACATACATACACACACACACACATATATATATATATATATATATATATATATATATGTCAGCTCATCGGTCTCCCCCTACCCAGGCTCTTCTACCCTAATAATATAATTTCAGTAACGGTGCCTTCTTCTCCCTATACCTTCCAATAAGTCCCCCTACATCATACTCTCTCCTTTTCTTTCCCCAAATAAACAATGTCCCACTACAAACTGATACCATAAACAGTTTAAAAAATGTTACGAATTTTAAAATTAAAATTCGTAGGTGAAAATGGTCATTTACTTAAGGTATCTTAATTCAAATTGTAATGAAAATTTACTCTATTTAATGAAAATAAATATTGAGCGCTCTTTTGTGAGTCAGTTTTAACATATTTCAAATTCTATGTTGTGTTAA